ATAGATAATGGATGGATGGTTTATGTTGTAAATTTTTATCTCTATTTATCCATTAGCTTCTCTGGTTCTGTTTTCTCTGTTTGGCCGGACTGGACTCCAGTATCCTCGTTTTTTTCAACCTGTCTGTAAAGTACTTTGTAAACTCTGTTTTTTAAAGGTGCTATATGTAAATAAAGTTATTATTATTATTGTTATAGTTTACAAAACTGATTCTAGATCAGCTGTAGTTGGAGTGTCCAACTACCAGGAGTGGATATGGGAATGTAAGTTATATTCTTGTAATGTTCCACAGGGTCATCTGTAACATTGGACAAGAATGTACACTAAAATCAGCTTGCAGAGTGGAGCTTTCTGGATCCTTCTTCTTCACAAAACTGCATTTGCATATGAGAAAAATACATGTAAAAGACTGTTATCAAAAATATTTGTATATAATCCAAGTTAGTATTAGATAACCTTTTTGTATATTTATCATTTACCCTTCACATATTTTGTGAAGCCTCCCTTGTTTAATGTTAGATTTTGCTGGAGATCTGGGACACACACACACAAACAGAAGATATCAATAGAAGACAGACTTTCTATTCTATTCTATACCAGGCGTGACTGGAGTAGTTTTTTCACGGCACTGTACTACCATCACGCAAATGACATTCCACTCAGGCGATTAGATCAGCGCTCACAACCAAATCACTGCTGCACACAGTGATTAGGTCAATTCAAAGCTCTCTTCAGCCACTCAATAGGTGAGAACAACTGTGGTCACACACACAGGAACACACACACTGACACATACGCACACATGCCCCGGGGCTGTGTTATCTGTGAGCTGACCAAATGCGAGATATGCCTGCAAGATAACCAAATGGTCAGAGCTCTGTAGGAGGGTGTGGACTGAGCGCTGGGACAGATATTTGTAGCCCTGGGAGCAGTTTTTAGTGTTAACACCAAAAACTCTGGGATACATCAGCATGACAGAGAAATGTGGACAAAGAGATGTTTGTATTTGCTAAAATTATGCCTCAAAACAAGTCTGTGCTACTCGCAAGGATATCATCAGCCTGTCTCATGTATATTACTTTGTTTTTACTGTTTAATAACTGCATTTGCACTAAAGTTGGTTCACCGTAATTTGGCATTAAAACTCTGATTCACTTTAACATTGAGATTTGTGTACCAAAACTCAGGCTCACTTTGCTCTTTTACATATGTCTGTAATAATACATAGTAGCGTAACACTTGTTTTCATCTCATTTAAATGCATGTTTGTTTTATTTTGTGTAAGTAGAGAAAGCTAAATAAACACCACAGTCAAATTCCTTCTTAGTGTTCACATACTTGGCAAATAAAACTAATAAGCTGATAATGAAACTGAATGTCAGAAAATCCTAATTCCATTCACATCCAATTTTTAATTCCACATTTTTTAACGTGAAAACATCTCTCTTTTTAGTGGCTTTATGAGTTTATGGCCGTGTAGCCATATGGAAAATTGTGTTTTATATATATCATCATTCTTATTCCAGTGTTTCTAAAGGAAATGAACACATGATGTATATTTAATAATAATATCCTCATGCTTTAATTGCTGTTTTTTGTTGGGGTTTTTTGACAGTAAAATATGCAAAGAAAAGGGCATGCATCTGCACGTTGTTGTTGCGTGAAGTGTTTCTGTCCCATGAGATTTAAATTTTAAAATGGTGTGGAGAAAAAAAACAGGGAAACAACGCGATGCCAGGGGATCAACCATCTTGCCACGTTCCAGTGGAGCGAAGGAGGCGGGACAAAGATAAGACTATCCACACGGTTGAATAAGCCCAACGCCTCTCGAATCCCATTGGCCATGAGCGCCTCCGGCCCCACCCACTTTTGCCCAACAACACTCTGATTGGCTGGGAGAGCTGTCAGTTACAAAGTGGACGGGGTTTCTTTGGTTCTGAGTTTTATGAGTCAGGAGGAGAAATTTTGATTTCTTTTCGCTGGTAGAAATAAAGCCCCACGGGTGCTCCGGTCCTCCTCTTCTGCTCTTGAGCCCACAGCTGCCAGAAACTCGCCATGGCTTCCAAGAAAAACGCTAAAGTGCACGTAAAATCAAAAGGTACGTCGCTGCTTCTCGTGTTGTGTCATAGGTTGCAGTGGTAGCGGATGATGATGCGTTCAGCTTTCACTGGCAGGCCTTTCAAAGTTAATCGGGTGTCAAAGCTGGTATTTCATTCAGGGCGCTAGCACTGGTTCGCTAGCTTCATTTAACGTCAGAAAACAGCATTGACGTGTTGTTTTCTCACAGTAAATTGATTTTTTAAGGGTTTATGGTGCACTCTTTATTCACACCGCTTCGTTAATATTACTGCGTTTACACGTCAACAACAGATGCTACGTCGACGTTAAGCTAGCTCTGCTTTCAGTCAGCAGACGTTATATATCAGAAATGATTAAGCCTCACTGCTCGTGTGTAGTGTTTTTTAAATTAAACTGGGCTGCTGTTACGCGGAGCTGTTTACCCGGTGTCCGTCCCGGTTGACCATGGCGACTCCAGCTCCAGGGGGGATTACTCAGCAACGCCGCTTCGCACGCGAGAGATAACGTTCTCCCGTGCGGCTTAATAACCATTTTTTCCCAGAGTTCCGTTGGAGGCTTCAGGCCCAACAGCGGGTCCGAACCGTAGCGACGCTGCTCCGGCGTGCGCACCCCGCCCCCAGCTCGGTCCAGTCACTTTTCCAAATGCTCACGTGTCAGTATAGGAAACCGGGGGTGGGGTTATCCACGGAGCCCCGGGGGTGTCCCTGCTCCCGGACCCCCTGCAGGCAGGCAGGCAGGCAGGCAGGCGGGCGGACGGGTACGGAGCTGCTGCTGCTGCTGCTGTATTTATCTTTATTGTTAAGAGCGTCGCCTGCAGCTCCATATCGTGCACTTGGATATTTAACTCCATGGCACCAATCCAGTGTGCTATAAATCAATTAAACAAGCCCAACTCTTGCTCGAAAACGCTGTGACGTTCAAAACTCCTGCAGAATTAAGTTTAGAATTTGGAATACACTTTACATACATTGTTTTTAGATTTATTGTCTCCTATGTGCCTTACAGTTTCGTACTTCATTTTACAGTTGCTGAGTAAGACAGTAGTATCTGTGAGGCTGACACGTGGCTGTGGCTAGATGTTGTGTATGTTGGTATAAACTATAAGAGGCATGTGTGGTTGAACTTCAGAGTACACACTGTTCTCTGACGGCTACACTCAGCTCCCAGGTCCCACTATTGTACATTTTAACTGGATGCTAACTACACAACTGCACAGAAAAGAATGTTTGCCATAGGACTCGTTTACACCACTTAAAATGTTAAATTTAAACCTCTTTTGCTGCCTCTGTTGTTGCTGGGATGCAGCGCGCAGCGATCAAATCTGCTGACGAATGATTTAGATGGATAACTGGCGGGGATGGTGCACAGACAACTAACGCAGCTTTAAAATGTGCACCGTTTTCCCCCTCTGCATTTGTAGTGATAGTAGCTTAAATCTGCAGATTCTCCTACGTTGTTGGAAATAAAAGAGCAGTGTGAAGGTTGGAAAGGTTCAGGGAACAAAATGTTCAGTTTTTTTACGGATCTTTTTCTTGACCCCGCCCACCACAGTCCCAGTGCGTGGATGTGTGGTTCAACTGGGTGACAAAGGACCAAGCCTCAAATACAAAAGGTTTAATGCATGAAGAAAGCACGCTCTCTGAATGAGAAAATTACCATTTCCAGCAAAAGGCAGCGTTGCTTTACTTTAGCTTCCCCTGTGTACATGTGTTTGCTGTTTTGGTTCCATGATTAATGTACATAATGTATTCTAAGTATACCCCACATTTTTTCATTTGACCCACTGTATTGCTACAACGTGCTGTGACGACAGTTAGTTGCATAATATATCTTTTAGCGTTGCAAATGTAGCCTAGTAGGTCATAAGCACAGCAGTTCATAACAGAGTACAGCTTTGAAGGATACACACTGGGTTTAACCACGCTGGAATGAGAGAATATTTAACCTAAATATTCACATACCCCAAATGTAGGTCTGTATCCCAAACCGCTCCTGGTCAGGGACTCTCTTAAATTTAATTTAACATGAGACAGTTCACTGATTTAATTGCCATTTAGTGGTGATTGTAACTCATTATTATTCATGTTTTTATTGTTCTTATTGTTTTAGCTGCGTGTCTCATTGTTATTTCTTTCACTCTTTTAAGCATTTTGAAATTTAGTTTTTATCTGATATATCCATGTATTCCTCTTTTATTACTGTTTGATTTTAGGTGTGCCTGCATTCATTATATGTGACTCAGAGCCATTAAATAAGACAGTCGCCCCTCAATGTGTTCTGACGTTTTAAAAGAATGAAATTAAATTGATTTTTTTCACTGTTCAAACTGTTATACTAAGTGGATACTAAGTGAGGTTGTCGGCAGCTGTGGTGGGTTAACTGTGTAATCTATGACGGAAAGAGCAAGGCTGTGCACTTAGTCAGTGTTTATTTGAGTTGCATCATATGATCAAATACCGATGGTTGCTTATCAAACAAAAATTAGATTTGCACTACCAAGCCTACTAATAGTGTGTGAACTGTAAAACATCCTCCAGATGCTGTGAACAGCATAAGTTTGAATGTCTGAAAACACATGAAAAGAGGCTTATATGTACACTTCACCCATTTATTTGTTTGTCACATGGTCTTTTTACTTTTCTACATTGCAATCCCTCAGGGCATCTCCCATTCTTTCCCCCTCCAAAGGGCTGAGGGTTGCTCAAGTGTACAGAGACGGAAGGGTAACGGCTCCGTCTCTTCCTCTGAGACTGTTGTGTTGTGTTCTTTGCATTTGCAGAGTGTGTTGTTTTGCTTAGCTTAATCCTGTACACCAACATGTAACCTTGCATGACAGTGCAGTGCTGTGTGTATCTGTGTCAGAGACTCAGTTTTGGCTTTCGAGATGCAGCATGCTGTTTGCTGTTGAATCAAACTGTACAGTACAAGTTCAAATATGAGTAGTTTAGTGACGAGTTTATTCTTGATTGAAGATACTTTTTATAACTCTGAAAAGGATGTTCAAATCCCCAGGGTTGTTATAACTAAACTCTCCTTAAAACAGAGTCTGATGTTGGGCAGATCTTTATGATTTTGGTGTTGCTATCCTGGGATGTGACATGCTGCATTTAGTTGTTTAAAAGCCTTACTACAAAGAAATTGGGAGTGCTCGCACAGTATCTGGAAGTAGTTTCCAGTGCATCCTGGGGATTCTGGTATTTTTAAGTAAAAGAAAACTTTGCAGCTCTTCATTAATTTCTTGTGGTAAACTCAAAAGGTACGAGGTTGCCTCTGTGCCTAGTTTAGCATTGCAGGAGAATATCTTTGCTTTAAGAAAATCCTTTAAGTAAGCACACTTGATTTGAGGACACTGAGATAATTGGCCTGAAAGCACCGCATGCAGCATAAAATGTTAACCTTTAATCACTGTGCTACTATAGTTCCCATTTGTATTTTGCACTGCATTTGCTGCTTCCCATTCCTGCTAGTTCTTGTTTATCAGGACAGTTTAGGTCCTCCTAAATTGAAGATCTAATAGACGCCTGTCTGCAAAGCCAAGTATTTTCTGTTACCATGTTACTGCATAAACATACAGTACATAACAAGTAGCACAAGATATTGTTATTAATTTCAGTTTGTGCTGTTTTCAGCTTGTTTTCACTGAGTCAGTGATAAAATTTAATTAGTTTGTCACTAGCGTCAGCAAACATCTTGAGCTAATACTTTTGATTTTCTGGGGATTTCTCACAACAATGCCAGGCATGGGATTTGTTTCCTGCCCTTTTTGTGGTGCCTTGACCACCGCCTCCATCACTGGAATGTACTGTGCACCACTGAATGCACTGTCCACTGTCAGTAGATGAAGTTTGGCGCTAGGTGGATGCTACTTGTTGGATTTTCCTGAAATGTACTTGCTTAAAGTCAGGAGAACCTTAACATAGCGATTCCAATATGGCTATAAAGCACACGTTTGAAGAAATTTCTTCCTAGCTAGTAAAAATCTGTGAGTTTTCACTTCACTCCAAAAAAGTTGTTTTTAAAGGTGGGGCAGGGTCAGAGGCTGTCTGCAGTGTCAAAGGTTAGAGAATTTGTAGAGCTGGAGATTTCTGAAGGGTATACAAACCTACATGTGTGTATGCACGAGGATGAACGCATGTTAAAAGCCTGAGGGAAGAGAAGTTTGAAGGCGGTGCACAGCAGCCCTTACATAAGCCTCAAAAGGAGTTACTCGGACTGAACAATGTGTACAGAGAGCCACAAAGAAGAGACTCGGCGGAGAGAGGTTTCCATTTGTTTGGAGAAGACTGAAAGTGTGCGTGTGTGTAGTGTGTGTGTATGTGAATTAGCTGCTGTGTTGTATGAAAATGGACAGTCTAGAAGAACAACGTGGTATGTTATTGCATGGTTTTGGTGTTTCTGCATTGCTGTTTTGTTCTGGTGTGTGTGCATGCATGGAGGTGTTGAGTGGCAATTTCTTTGTGTGATCACATGTGTGAAGAATATACAGATTAGCTTGTGTCACTATGTATGTTTTTCATGAATATTCAGAGCAGCAAATTGGTAGTTTTTTGCACCAGCGTGTCTAATGTAATACTGATACTTTTATAGGGTCTGAACTTGTTGCTAGTTCTTTGATAACAAGAAGTACTTAATTTTGAGGTTTTTTTTAGTTTGGTGTATTTACGTGTTCTTTATTGTTTGCTTTTATTAGCTTTGGTGTAGTTTGTAAGTGTTGGGTGGATAAGAACAAGAACAACACTCAACTAGCCCTTGTTCTATTCACTCTCCTACTTACTGACCCAGGTGCTGCTAATTCCATAAACAATAACCTCGATGTGTAAACTTGAATTTCTTGCTGTGTCAAATATGTTGTTGCACAGGTACTGTTTGCTGGGACAGTGTGAGCCACGTGGCCCACTTTCTAGTTAGGAATGTAGAGCTATAGAGTGTAGCATGCCAGTCATCGTGAGTAAATGCTTGCAGTGCGTTACAGTGTGAGCAGATTGCGTTTTGATCAGGATCACATTGTTTCATTATGTTCTCAAGCACATATGCTCAACACAACAAGCATTGGAATTTTTTGTCATGTAAATTTATTCTGCTGACAGCTGTTTGTTGTTGCTCTATTTGATGGATTCAAACCATGCTAGGATTTAGTTTCAGTGTGCATCCTTTTACAATATATTGCCAATCCCCAATGTCTATGGATGTGTATGTGGTCTCTGTTAAATCAATTTCCTTCCACTAAGCCAAAGTTTGAGATGCATGCTAGAAGAAGTAAACAACTTTCATTTGGTGGTTAAATATAATTGCCACATTAGTGTGATTTACTTTTTGGCAAAGTTGAAACCTGTGTAGCCACAATATAGTTTTTTATGGTTTTATCAATATTGAACAAGCTGTTGTGTTTACTTTACAGTCAATATAATAATAAAATAACTGAAAAAGCATTTTGCCAAATGCAAAGTCGATCAGTTTATCATTTCAGCAGTATTGTTAAGTAGTTGTAGCTGCTCTTGCAAACTCAGAGTAAATCAGTTAGTCCATATCCAAAACGAGAAACATGTCATAAGGAAGGATATTTTGGTACCAAGTTGATGCCAAAATTCTGAAAACATTGTGGTACTTCTTTTGCTATTGGCCAGAAAATGCCAGAGGTGCCATAGATGCGGTAGGTTTGTGAATGAGCAACATGTGGAACACATCATGTCTGCTGAAATTTGTGGGAGGAAAACCCCACGTAGAGTCACAGAAGGGAGACATTTAATGAATCAGATCAGGGACGAGTTGAAGAAGGCAACCTGTGTCAGAGTATGTGGAACAAAACAAAGAAGTTGTCTTAAACTTTTCTAAGCACCTCAATTAAAAACATGGCAATATCCTGAAATGTTCCTGTTTGTGGATTCAACAGCTGCATCTACTGTAGCAATCATCCACAAACAGAGCCTATCCCAGCTGACTGAGGGTGAAGGCAGGGGACACCCTGGACAGGTCACCAGTCTATCACAGGGCGTGTGCACGAACAATAACAGCAATATATGCAATTTCGTTTCATTTGTGACCATTTGGTAGACAGAAATGGTCATTATGTTTGAGTAAGTGAAGCTCCAATTAACAAAACCTGTTAAAAAATCATTGGAAAAAGTCTCTTGATCGATACCCCACATGCCTTGAGTTCAGTTCGAGCAATTCTGTAAGATGTTACTCATAACCTGAACAAGTGCTGCTCCTAATGTTCTGAGGCTCACATTATTACTGATTAGTCTGGCAAAATATAATGTTGTGCTTGTGTGTGTCAGCATACTGTGTATGCAGAAAGTTGTTATTCATCAAGAGTATGCTTTGAAATCAAGCATTTCACTGACTTGCTGTTTTGGTATCTAGAGATACTGGATAGTGTAAAATATAGTGGTTTTGGTTTTGACTACCAAATTTCAGGCTTACCACGTCTACAATAGAATCTCTTTCACTACCCAGATTTGGAGTGTATTTTTGTTTTCATCTTGGTCACTCATGTCAGTGTAGCCTCTTGCTGCACTACTCTCCCTGTTATGGTCCAAGCGTTCTGTTTCCTTGATTTAACTTTAGTTTCCTGTCTTAATACTTAAAGCCACATACTAACTTGCTGCAAACCTTCTACCCACGAAACAGACATCAGCCCAGGTGTGAAGAGCAGCAAGTACAAAATGAAGGTTGTTTTTATTGCCCCACACGTCACAGTATCACAATACATCTAGTGAAATATGACTTTCTAATCTTCCATATGAGGCAGAGGAGAGAGAGGCAGTCCTTTGCAGCTGGCAGCGCTGGGCCTGTCTAGCAGTGATGTTAATGCCTGTGTTCTTTTCTCTCTCTGTATGTCAGGGCCAGCTGATCTAAAAGCACTATAAATAGCTTTCTATGACCTCCAGAGCCATATCAGGCTCTGGAGAAAAAAAAAAAAAACAGTGACAGAGAGCTGGGATGACTGACAGATGAGTAAGAAAAAGAAAGCCAGTCAATGTAGAAAGAGGGAAGGGCCAGATAGGGACACGGAGGAGGTGAGAGAGAGGGAGGCAGAGCTGCTCTTTCTCTTAGCTGGGACTGCAGGCTCTCTTTGGCTAGTTAAACTCTTGTTTAGTTAGTCAGCGAGCCAGGCCGTCACACGGCAGGGATGGGCGATCCAGCGACCCTGGTAGAGTCCGCCACCCCTCCTGTCGTCACGGCGGTCCCTACTGTAATCGCTGGGGAAATGCAAGGTGAGGAACCCGCCTGCTCAAGGCCTGTTGACCGGACAGCTGAGAAGGACAAAGCGGCATGGAGGTCATTGTGGGGGCCTGGTTGTTGGTTTCAAGGTGAAGGACCGAGGTCTCCTGAATCTCCAGTTTTTTGTCCAGGATCCAAGATCTCAGCGTACTGGTCGTGTATTAGATTTCTCTGTAATTCGTTCAGTGAGTGATCCATCGGTAGCGCATAAACACGTCTTAAATTGTGACCACACAGTAAATATGTAACTAAATAGTGGGTTTAAGAGATTCCTAAGTTTGGTAACATTTAGCCATGTCCTGTAACTAATTTAACTTAAAATAATACTACTTCCACATGGTGAGGGTGGATTTGTTTATTTTTTTACCACATTCGTGTGCACTTTTAGATTAATACAGAGCAGTGTTAAGGCAACAAACCATGTTCTCCTGCTTTTTGTGCTAAACTGGGCTGAGCAAACAACACACAGATCTCTGATGTACAATCAGACAAACGGAGATGATATTCATATTATCTAACTCCGAGAAGATGTCACAGCACAGAAATCCCCAAAAGGTTGGAGATTTTAAGAGCATTATGTTTATTTCGGCTGGGTTGATGGATTTTCAGCTTAGTACAGTGTTTAGATTTAACACTGTGTGTCACTGTGCAGATGAAATGTTTGCAAGCGCCTGAGATTTGACCTAGCACCATGTAGCGGACTTTAACACCTGTTCATTCTCTCTGCCACTATTTTCTCCCTCTGTGCATTGTCGGATGTCATCGACACTCCTGGAATAGCTTCTTAGATGCGGTTTATTTTCCTGTTTCCACCGCGTCCAATTCTTTCTGCGGGGATTAGTGCACATACTGGAGCTGACATGATTCCTGACAGATTTGCACAGATTCAGTGTAAAAAATGGAGCATTTCATAGCTTCCTAACTTTTCTGTGTAGCGTAAAAGTCTGGCTACTTGGCTGGTTCTATAGCTTGGCAATGAAAAGGTCAACAAACTAAACTAAGGCCAAGTTAAACAAAAGATTATGTCATCCAGGTTCCTTGTTTGAAGAGATGTAAGCAAATATAACCAGTTTTAACGGATGCTTTCAGGTAGCACCATCACAAATTGCAAGTTGTTTTCTTTTCTAGAGACGTAACTCACTTCAGTTACATAATGCTGGAATTACTGTCTGTTGCTGTGATTCAGTGTTGTTGTGACTTACACCGTAGCCTTTTACAGCTCTGCTTTTTCATTTGTTCACTAACTGACTTTGTATTCACACTATAATAGCTTTTTGTCTGGTGGCTAACCCAGCTAGCATGGTTTAGCTCAAAGACAGCTGTCTAGATGGAATTCACACCTTGGAGATTATGTTTCTCCTATGCCAAGATGTGCACATAAGTGTATCAGACAAAAGCAGCTGTATTTTTTTTTTCTGAACTAATAATAATAATAATGATAATAATAATAATATAGTGAAACCTGCCAGCTTCTCAAGGCAAAGTATGGACTGTACTGTTGGTATTGCAACCGAAAACCAACATAAAGTTTCTGAATCAGTATTGGACCATCACGTTACTAGAACAGCTTGAATGCAGCATGAATGCCCGCAATGCAACATGTCAACTTTACTTATGAAACTGACATCGCTTGTGCTGTCTTTGTGTTACAGATGGAACTAAAACCCAGTCAGCCAGTAAAAATGGGAAGAAGGCGGACTCCGGGTCCAGCAGCAGCTTCTTCACCTGGTTCATCGTGCTGGCCCTGCTGGGTGTCTGGACATCTGTAGCCGTGGTCTACTTCGACTTGGTTGACTATCAAGGAGTTCTTGGTGGGTACACGGACATGCATTTAGCTTTTGGAGGAGCCAAACGTATTCATTCCAACTCATGCACCTCACTGTAAAGGTGTGGCAGCAACTAGTTTGGCTTTAGTCCTCATCTGGCCGCAGATGTAACGCCTGTCATCTGTCTCGAAAGTGAACTGCAACCCAGAATAAGAACCAGTTCAACTAGAATATTTACCCCTGTCAGAAAACTAACATCAAGTCAGCAGCTCTTACTAATCTGACATGAGTCTGCTTCAGTCCTCTGTCCTCCTTTTTTGTTTATTTCGCTGTCTAATCACAAGTAAACCAAATACTTATGCAAATATTATGCAAATCAGGTGCCAGAAAATGGCTGCAGATCAGCGTCTGTCAAATCAAGTGAAAGCAAAATGGCCCCAAAGAACAGGAGTTTGTTCGAGTGAGTTGCCCCTATTGAACTGTTAAGCATACTGACAAGTCAGTCAGACCCTTGAGAAACTTAACCATATACTGTGAAGGTTACCTTTGATTTGTTACTTGAAATGTGTTTTATATTTTTTGTTGTAGATTTTTGTATAAAGCAAGCACATAAAAGGACTTCTGCAAAAAGCAACGTTAACAAACACAATAATGAAAACTTTAAATTAGCACAGCTGCATATAAGGAGATGCATTTTTCTTAATAATATGATGGATGCGCCTCTAACAGCAGCATATATTCAGCTCGCCATAAAACACTCATGCAGTCATTGCTATCTCATTAGTCTGTTGCATGTAGATCCAAGTCTATACTGCAACTACCCTTCTTTAATCACGACGTTTTATTGATGTTCTGTTCCATGCATGCCTTCATCATCCTTGATCGCATAATGCTGTCTGTTACTAATCTGCACCACTAATGATAAATGAGACGTTTTTGTCTGAGTTGTATGTATCTGCTATTAATGTACGAAATATGAATCTGTTCTGTTTTATTCTTAATCTCGCTGTTGTTTCAATATGTATGTTTTGTGTTTTGCATGCAGACAAGGCTAAGGGCTTACAAATTAACCTGTCTGAGGCCTTGCAAGGTAAAAATCACAAGGCATACTTCTTACACCCTCTGTTAGAATAAATGACTGTTTTCTTATGTTCTTAGGTTGTGCTCTCAAGATGTTTCCCTCTATCCCTTACACTCTGTTTTCAGAGCCCAGATTTAAGGCAATAAATTCTCCAGATGTGCCTGGCTAACTGCCCCTTACTTGGTTTGGTCGTGAAATAATCTAAAGTACACAAAGGCCGTCTTTATTTATTTCTGTGTTGAAGAAAACGTGTCCCTCAAGACATGATTTTTCATTATGGCCATTATGGGCTGCTTGTAAAGCACCTCATTGTCTCTTTCATTTGTGCAAAACATTAATCAAGCCACTGCCTACTATAGAGGAAAAATCCAAAACTTGTTAACATCACAAGTGGAGGAAAGGAAAAACAAATTTCTAATTCAAGTCATCTTGAAATGCTTGTCTCAAAAGTTAGTTGAACACATCACAGGTGAGTGTTGCCTTAAATCTCATGTGGAAGGGCATCATTAAAATCTATCTTCCTTGTTCACCTGCAAAGGAAGATGTGAAGAATCTATGAAATCATTTTCCCTTTTCTACATACAGGTCTTTTGTTTGAATGACTTGTCTAACCTCTTCTTTCACTCTGCCAACTGGGTCAAATTATCTGTAGTTCACTAAGTGACCCAATTGAAATCATCATTCTTTAAAGTCGATAACACAAATTAGTTTGTCATTACTGCTGCTGACAGGTTCCACTTGTTCTTTAGCCACCCGGTCCTATTGTTTTCCATGTCCTCTCTATTTTATAAGAATTCACCAGGCTTTTGGCTGACTAGTTTTTGCAAATTTAGATTCAAGTTTCTCAGTTAAATTATGTACAATCCGTGATAGCACATCCTTCTATCAGTTAAACTACCTGTAGAAGTGCTAAATGAAAAGGAGTTTGTCTCCCACAAGCTTGGTGTATTTCTTTTAAAGAATAGATTCACATTGTTTTTACGTTGGTCCCAATAGACTTTTAACTAATTTAGACTACTGAAGCCTTGCATTGGCTTCAACAGAACCGTAGAATGCTTCTTTTTTTTTTTAAGCAGTAGACACTGTGGATCTTATCCATCACTCTCATTTCCTAATGACCTGAGAAATTAACAAATTAATATATTAGGATAGACTAAGCTAAAGTGTGAACCTTTCCTTCGGCATCTCTCTGTCTTGAATGTTGCATGTAAATGTTGTAAAATGTGTCCTTGTTACAACAAATCCTAAGTCTACATGTGTGTTTGTTGCCACTGTAGGTAAACTGGTGGCATACGATACAGACGGCGATGGTGATTTTGATGTCGAGGATGCTAAAGTTCTGCTAGGCAAGTCAATTTAACTCTGATTTACAACTAATTTTATTGTTTGCTGTCAGTGTCCTGCAGAAAGGGAAAGAAAAACAACAATCTGTATTATATCTGAAAATTGTGAAAGTTTCTGCAGGCCACTGATAATGTGTTATGTGTTTGTGAATTGCACAAAATGGCGGTTTGGGTTTCTTTTGCATGGCTGAAAATCAACTAGCTGACTGTTACATTAGAGACAACTCATCAGTGAAAACGACAGAAAAGCTGAGCTCCTCAAACACTTCAGTACGTTGGTGAAGATTTGTTAGTTTTCTTAATGGGTTTCTTGTCCGAAATAAACCTTGTGCTTCTTTTGATATTCCCACATTAAAAAAAATATTAAAGTCAAGATTGCTAAAGCTACCTGAAGTTTATGTCCCAACATAAAGAGGTAGGTGCTCTGTAATAGCGCTGTAACAAACCAGTGAGGTTTCATAAACAACCGGTTGTTATAGGATGGAATTACTGCGGTTATTCACTGTCAGGACTTGTTTTAAAAAACCTTCAACTAAAGGAGCGTTTCCACTTTTACTGTGGGACAGGAACTTTTGGAAGAATTAAGTTCCCCCACATGTATTTCCTCCTCCCCAAAAGTTCTGCTCTGAGGTACAAATTTCTTCTCAGGACATTTTAATGTGGTGTTCACGGCACTGAATGTCGCTGATTGATGAGGTATGCTCGGGTTTTCCACAGGATTCTTAAAAACCTGCAACCACAAACACATTGTCTGCTGAAGTTGGGGACTGAAAAGCATCAGGAAGGAGCACCCAATGTGATTTTACCACTAATGGATTGATTCATTTTGCAGAAGATAACATTTAAAAAGGAAATTGAAACTGTGGTGTTTTTGATATATATGCAGATTAAATAGGTCAGTTTTCACAAGACTTTGACTCACATGTAGACCTCTAGGGAACATTCCTGGACATCTGTTCTGCAGAGTTTAAAGTTCCTGGAAGTCTTGATGGAAAAGCATCTGCAGTATTGTAAGACAACTGAGAAGTTCAGTTGCCAAAATGGACAGTCCCTCTTTTACCTCCACTACGTTAGTGGTTTCCAGTGGAAATATCCTTTGTATTGTCTAGGTAGCACTGGGCTGACACCCTATCTGTGCTGTAGCTGTACAGTTTTTTTTTTTTTAAAGGGTCTCTCTTCTCTCTGTAAAGCTCAAGACACATTTTAGTTCCTGGTTGTCTTCAGGTGTTGTTGTCTCTGCATGTTTCACAGTTTTACACAGGATTTGTTTTTCTACTTTTTTTAAAATATTAGTTTTTAGAACTCACAGCAGTGTGAAACACTAGTTTTAACATGTCCCACCACACCTGTACGCAAAACAAATTTCAACAGAAGAGTGCTCATTTTGAACTTGGCATAATGAGGTGCTCTAAATAGCACCTGGATTGCCACCTGAATATTTGTTTTTGTACAACTTAATATCATGTGCTCAGAAAACTTGTTTCTCAGACTAAAGTCTGTCTTCATTCACATGGTTTTTTTTTTTTTGGTTTTATTTTTTACACATTTTTGTATAAAGCCATTGATGATCAAAAATAGATATTTTTTTGTGACTGAATTGTAGAATGGCACTCATGCTATATCTGAGTCAACAAGAAAACCTCTGTGCTCTCAAGAGGAACATTCAGATACTGTAATACACATAACAGTCTTTGTTAAAATTTTAACTCGTGTGACACTTAGCTACACTCTGTCCCATCTGAATCTGCCCTTCTTCAGAGAGGTGGCTCTTTCTCCCCAGTCTATCTTAAACCTTTCCACTTCACTAACATTCAGTTTTCCCCCTCTGTAACCGTTCCTACTGAAATTAGGGTTGGGCAAGGCCTTAAAACATTCCAGTCAGTCCGACAAACAGCAATTGCAGACAAATTCATGAAGGTGTGTGTGTGGTGCATACAGCTGGCAGGGGCAGTCCAACTCCACCACCCCAAACAGGGTTTTTCTGTTGTTGTTGTTTTTTTTTTTTAAGTGTCCAGTGGTATCAGATTAAGGAAGCCTCAGCTTGCAGCCTCTAAATTAGTGTTCTTCATTTGGACAAAGTCAACAGTGGAGTCAATTTTACCACAAAAGACCAAAAGCCACCCCAAACATTCTGCACGTCTGCCAACTATTTTTGTCATCCCACATCAATACAATATGTAATACGATCCTAATTCAAACAGGCTTACTTTAATACTGGGATGAGCCTTCCCTTTTTTCCTTTCTATTTGTAGTTCACGCCCAGGTTTCATAAAATTTTGGTTATGTGGTTTTGAGATGACTCTCTAAGTTGCTTAAGTTGAAACTGGAGTGAGTTTGTTTGCATGCAGTTTTGATCCAAAGCGGACAAATAATCTATTCCTCTGTCTGTTTTCTTGAAACTTCCTCTGCTTATCTTGTACGGCTCATACGTTTCTTTTTTCACCTAAAGCACCTGCTTCTTGCTCACTGGTCCCCACTCGTCTTATTGGTATTGATTTTAAGTTGTTGCTTATTCAGTTTTCTTTCTGTTTTATTAGTCACGCGCCTTTGTTTGATTAGAATTTGAGCAATTTATATTGTCTGTGCTTATTATGCTAGCTGGCATCAGATGCTACAATAGCCAAGCTATAGTGCTCTTACAAAAGTGTGAAGTGTTGCCATGTTGGTGACAGTTTCCACCCCTAAAAGCACAAAAGGTTGCATGTGTACTTTGTGTTTGTCCCCATTCAATGGCACTATTGCCATTGTGGTGCTTCAGAGGGATGCCAAAACATACAACACCTCATCTTGTGCATGAATAGTATAGCTGTTATGAGTATGTTTATGACTTATGTGTAGTGACTGCTTTATCATATAATTAGTAGCCCCCACGCGAGCAAGCAATTACAGCTTGGCAAGCTGCAGGAGGCTTGCGAACTGTGTAATGATCAACACTGCTCTAAATGAACAAACGGGTGGCGGTAACTTATGACATTAACAGATCAGACTGCACATCTACACACACAGTTTTTGATGTATGATTTGTGAATTTTAACACCAACTGATCTTGCAGCAACCACTAAAGACAGCTTATTTTAGTCATTATGAAAGACCAAAGTCAGTGACGGAAATCATTGGCACAAAAATGCATGATACGGCCCAATTTAGCTACTAGTTTCTATTAGTGCACACGTTGAATTGGACTTTACAGGTGAATTTTTTATCAATTTGAACACTCATGAAGGCAGACCATTACTTGAGCCAAATCAAATGATAAAAATAAGCCGAGAAACCAACCAGCAAGGGACTAACCCAACTGATGCCAGATGTATTCGTCCACTTGCTCGACCTTAACTAAAATTACCTTTAACAAATGGATTGTATTTGCTTCCTGGCATTGAAGTGCACACTCCCTTGCATACTTGTCTCTTTATTTCAATCCTTTTTAAAGCTTCCTCTTCCTATTGTCCTATTTCTGATACCTATTGTGTGTGTTTGAACAGGTCTCTCTTTAGCTTAACCCTATAAAGCCTGAATCATGAAATAATTGCCAGAAAAGTCCATTTTTTTCAGAAATGAAGTGTTTATTGAACCTTCTGACAATTAAAAAAAAGAAACAAACAAAAAGTAAAATATCAGTTTTTATATATGAGTTTTGATTTGTATAGTTTTTTTCTACATCCGGCATTTTGTGGTGCGTGAATTACTGATCCATGGTGGATTGTCCGTGCACTGAATGGGTCTGATTGTATACATCAAGTTTTTCAGGAAAAAAAAACATCACTGATGGTGTAGAGGTCTCAAAAACTCATGAATCAAATAGGATTCACTTTGCGTTACAGGGTTAATATCTTACAATGTCAGAAAAACATGCAAACATAAATCTGTCTATTTTTAAAGACACTTTAATGGCGACATACATTTTACTGTAAAACTGCTAAACGAGTTCTTCTGGCTTTTTTCCGTGCTGATAAATAGCATTGTTCATCTTCAGGCCTTTCTATAAATCATTTTCTTACAGTAGGTATTGCCAGCTGTGCTTCATG